GATTTTTTTGGAGTTCTACCGTTAGTGATTTTGGAACGTCATTCATGAGCTGGAATACACCATAGATTTTCAAAAGCACCAGCCGTGGTATAGCCTGTATTGTATTCAAGGATATTCTTGTACCTACATTGGCTGTACTTGGCCAGGCATGTTAGATATTTTCTTGGGGCTCTGTGTCTTGGCCTTTGGCAGGCAAAAAGCTTATATATAACGAAGACCATGACTCGATTCGGAACGATGGTGAGGGCGTGGAACGATGCTTCGCAAGCCTGAGGTTTACGTGATGGTTTCCAGGCTCGTGGGTCTATGAGGTGGGCATGACAAACAATAAGTCCAGCGGCCGGCCCGGCAATCACCCCTTCCAGCCATTATAATTGGGCAGCCAACGTGGGACCTTGAGTGACGAGAAGTGCCCGGTGGTTGATCAGGAATCCTCCAGAATGTTCTTGGTTTGGACTGGAGATTGTTGGGCAGCTATGGTGACCTGATTGTTTGCTGGGGGAAACAGGTTTCACAAACACACCGAGATGTAATGCTGTTTGCCTGGGGAAAGGGAGGGAAACAAAATCACAACGCCAACCCCAACCAACGGAAACCCTCGCCCCCCGAGCACTGCGAACAGCGAGCTACGAAAATTATTGTGTTCAGGTCCAGGACAAGAAAAATGGGGTGCAATGCCAAAGGTGGGGTGATGGGTGTATGACGGTACCTGTTGTACATACGGCCGGGGGTGGAGGTAGCGGTAGGAGGGGTCAACAGGGGGGAGAAAATGCTTATCGCTATCGCGGCAGCGAGAAAAATCTTATCGGGTTGCCCCTCGTTGCTTGGCAAATCAGCATGATGCAATTGTGAAGCGCTGTGGGAAAGGGATGATGGATGATACAAAAGTTTAGATGACAGGTGCATAGATTTTGGCATGAGAATAGACAGAGCTGGAATAGGCTGCATCGACAGGCTAGGACTAGGCATAATACACCCGGTGATACATGATAGGAGTTAGAACTCTTCTCCAGCTGCTGATGGAAGATCCCATAGACAAAAAAAGCCCAATCGAGAATCTTCTTCTGGATTCTGGAGGAGCCTTGGCTACGACACAGACGCCCGGGCGCGGGGTTATTCAAAGGCTTCCCGCCCTGGGGGGGGGAAGCAAAACTCGTGCCTGTCCTTGCTGTGTGTGTGCCACTGTCGGGCAATCCAAAGTAAAAAGTCTGCAATTTCTTACCAGCCAAAAGCGCTAACATTTTTTCCATTGTGGGAAAAGCCTCGTTTTTGTACACTGAAACTTCAGCACCCCATCACCACCACCACTGAATCCGGGCCTGCCTTCTCTGAACAGTCCAACGAAACAACAACCCCACCTTATTTTTCCCCCTCGACCACCCACAAACCCGACCCATATCGTTCATTCTCGACTCTAGTGGTGAGCTACATCTCCTTCGAAACCAACTCTGGATTCGCGCCTCTTCTTCTTTCGATCAGTCTTGTTTACACGGTTGTTTTCTTGACCCTTACAGAGCCGAGTTCTCAACAACTGCCCAACATGAGTGTCGTCGGTATGTCTTGCGCCCACCCGCTCCGCTGCCGAGTGGTACTCCCACCGCTCGCCTCGAGGCTGACTTGCTAACCTTTGCTTGCGTCTCACAGGTGTCGATCTCGGATCCCTTAACACAATCATCGCTGTTGCGAGAAACCGGGGTGTCGATGTGGTAAGTACTTCACCCGCCCAACGAAGCCCTCCTTTTGCGGGAGAGGGAAGCAAAAAGTCGATAAGGCTGATTGTGATATGCCACACGAGCGCAGAACTGACAATAGCTTTGTCAATGACTAGATCACCAACGAGGTCTCTAACCGGGCGACTCCGTAAGTTCCTTACCCCTTGATCCTCCCTGTCCCAAGTCTAGCTCCTGAAGCCTTGCGGAATTGGCGCCCAATATCTAACACTCCTTCTCCAGATCGCTTGTTGGCTTCGGCCCCAAGTCCCGGTATCTCGGTGAGCCCGCGAAGACTCAGGAGATTTCCAACCTCAAGAACACCGTCGGTTGTCTCAAGCGCCTCCTCGGCCGCACAATAAATGATCCCGATATTCAGATTGAGCAGAGCTTCATCTCGGCTCCTCTGGTCGACGTCGACGGCCAGGTCGGTGCTGAGGTGACATACCTGGGCGAGAAGACCAAGTTCACCGCTACTCAGCTCACAGCCATGTTTCTCGGCAAGATCAAGCAGACCGCTGCCGCCGAGCTTAAGCTCCCAGTATCCGACCTCGTTCTGAGCGTTCCTGCGTGGTTCACCGATATCCAGCGCCGCGCTCTTATCGATGCCGCCGAGATTGCCGGTCTCAGACCACTCCGCCTCATCAACGACACCACCGCCTCCGCTCTCGGTTACGGTATCACCAAGCTGGACCTCCCTGCTGCTGATGAGAAGCCCCGTCGCGTTGCCTTCGTCGATGTCGGTTACTCCAGCTACACCTGCTCCATCGTTGAGTTCAAGAAGGGCGAGCTTGCCGTCAAGGGTACCGCTTTCGACCGTCACTTCGGCGGCCGCAACTTCGACAAGGCCATCGTTGACCACTTGGCCAAGGAGTTCCACGGCAAGTACAAGATCGACATCAACTCCAACCCCAAGGCTCTCAGCCGTGTCTATGCCGCCGCGGAGAAGCTCAAGAAGGTGCTTTCCGCCAATCAGCAGGCGCCCGTCAACATTGAGTCTCTCATGAACGATGTCGACGTTCGTGCTATGATCTCTCGTCAAGAGCTCGAGGCTATGGTTGAGCCCCTTCTTAACAAGGTTCACGTTGTTTTGGAGCAGGCTTTGGCCGACTCCAAACTCAACAAGGAGGACATCGATATTGTCGAGGTTGTCGGTGGTGGCTCCCGCGTGCCCGCTATCAAAGAGCGCGTCTCGGCTTTCTTCAACGGCAAGGCACTTTCCTACACCCTGAACCAGGACGAGGCCATCGCCCGCGGATGCGCCTTCAGCTGCGCTATCCTCTCCCCCGTCTTCAAGGTCCGCGACTTTGCCGTTCAGGACATCATCAGCTACCCCATCGAGTTCGCTTGGGAGAAGGATGCCGACATCCCAGATGAGGACACCAGCTTGACCGTCTTTAACAAGGGCAACGTCTTGCCATCTACCAAGATTCTCACCTTCTACCGCAAGCAGGCCTTCGACCTCGAGGCCAGATACGCCCAACCCGAGGGTCTGCCCGGAAAGGTTCCCGCCTTCATTGGCCGCTTCTCCGTCAAGGGTGTCAAGGCCACCGGTGGCCCAGAGGACTTCATGATTTGCAAGCTCAAGGCTCGTGTCAATATCCACGGTGTCTTGAACGTGGAGAGCGGCTACTACGTCGAGGATCAGGAGGTGGAAGAGGAGATCAAGGAGGAGGGTGACAAGAAGGAAGGCGATGTGAGTACTCTCCCAACACGTGAAAGCAACCCCTTATCGGTGGATTATACACAGATGAACATCACTGGTGGAAGTGAGGAGGTGCCTGTCAGATCGCCGAAACGTCGCAAGACCGAGGCGCCCGCGACTAGCGAATCCGATAACCAAGCCGGAGTTGTTGGGGAGGAAGAAGAGCGAGAGAGAAATGAACTAACCACCAAATTCAAAAAGGCCATGGACACAGACGAGAAGCCCAAGACGCGCAAGGTCAAGAAGCAGGTGCGCAAGGGCGATCTGCCCATTGTGAGCGCCACTCTTTCCCTGGAGCAGGCCCTCAAGGCCCAGCTCTTCGAGAAGGAATCTTCCATGGCCATGGAGGACAAGCTTGTCGCCGACACCGAGGAGAAGAAGAACGAGCTCGAGACCTACATCTACGATCTCCGCAACAAGCTCGACGACCAGTACTCTGAGTTCGCCAGCGACGAGGAGAAGACGAAGATCAAGGCCAAGCTCGAGGCTACCGAGGTATGTTCTAATCCATGAACTGGTGGAGGTTTTGTATCGTGATAACTAACGACTTTACAACAGGACTGGCTCTACGATGAGGGTGACGACACCACCAAGGCTGTCTACGTTGCCAAGATCGATGAGATCCGCGCCCTTGCCGGCCCCATCGTCCAGCGTCACTTTGAGAAGGTCGAGGCCGACAGGCAAGCACTCCAGGCCCGCCTCGATGCCGAGAGGGCGGCGAAGAAGGCCGAGGAGGAGGCCCGCAAGGCTGCCGAGGCCAAGTCAGATTCCAAGGATGCGGAGATGACGGATGCGGACGCGCCAAAGGCCGAGGTTGAGGAGGCTGGTGACCCTTAGGGATTTTGGAGCAAGATGAGGAAGGGTATTGGACAGAAGATGAAGAAGAGCAAATGATACCTTACAGGAGAGAGTGTGTGGCAAAAAGAAGAGGGGTGGGTTTAAAATATGGGACATGACGGACATGATGCAAACCAACCCACTTTAGAGTTTCCTGTTTCTGTTGACGAGAAATTTTTATGTTTGCCTCCAACCACACAACTTATACACTTTGCACAAAAACCCCTCATCGCACGTTACTAAATATGAGCCAGCGGAAATTGGGGGTTCATGAAGAGTTTGAAAAAAGAGAAGGGTGGGAATGGTGGTTGGGTTGTCTTTTTGATAGATTGGGGAAAATATGGTAAGGGGCGGGGGGCTGAGGTTTTGTTTTTGTGTCTTGATTGCGGAAATGGTCATACATAGGTTTAGTGTAGGGAATATAAAAGCGGAGGTTGGGAAAGTAGTCTTGGAGATTCTGTCGATGTTTTTTGTCCGTGATACATGTTCAATGCGTGTCTTGCAGTATGGGATAGGCGCTTTACAAGCAACCGACAAAGTAAATGGCAAGTACCTTCGGATACTGGATCTAATGTCAAGTCATAAAGAGGTATACCATGAAGTGTGAAGAGACATATTGTTGAACGAAGGGTGAAGGTAGCAAGTACTGTACCCGATAAGATGGACCAAACAGAGCGCACGGGGGGTATTGGAAACAAATTAGGTATAGAGGGAGATAGATGAGGAAGAAAAAGCAAAAAAAGAGAAGATTCCCATACCGGGGTTTGAACCCGGGTCTCCAGGGAGTTCACTGTGCACTTTTGCTCAGAAGAGCAGGAGCAAGTTGAAAACCTGACATGCTAACCACTACACTATATGGGAGTTGTGTTGCTTTGATGGAAAGGCTTGTGGGAAGATGATATACATAGCGTGGAGGGAGGGAAGGAGCAAGTGAAGAGAGGGGCGAGTGGTGTGGTTCCTTCCTTAGGCGGCTTGAGGCGGAAAAGTTTAACAGGGAAGAGGGAAGGTTGTGGTGACGGTTTGGGCTTGGGTGGCTTAGACAGAGTGAGTCACTTGCCGCAGAGGCAGGGTGGCATTTTTGGGAATAAGGTTAGTTGTTCTTTTTGTTTTAGTTGCTTTTCGGCATTAGGTCTTGGAAGAAGGTTGATGATATGGGAGGACCATGTTGTTTGTGGGCTTGTATGTCAAGTTTGACATATTCCCCGAGTCGAGCTCAAAGGACAGGACAGAAAGGCTATGCATTAGCTTTGGAGATATTTTAGAGAAGACCAGCGGAAACGATGACAGTGAAAAGTGTAGAAGAAGTTCTCTCATTTATTCTATAAAGCACGGGACTGGCAGTCTCTCTGTAAACACGGGAGGATTGCGGTGTGGTTTAGTTGGACAAGATTCGTCTCTTGTCCGAGGACCGTCTCAATGGCATCAAGCTTTTTTGAGGGGAATGAATCTTATATATACATAACCAAGGCTTCTACAAAAGGACCCCTTAACAAACGGGATCTAGATGCTCGATTGATCTTCCAGACGCGCGTGGAAGATGTCGAGCTCGGTAACGATGAAGGAGAGCAGCCTCGGAATACCAGTGACATGATAAGTTAGCAAGGAGTCCAAGATTAACTGCTACTCATCTCGCTGGTGTAAAATGGACTGTCAGGTGGAGGGCGAAACGCTCATGACCTCGACAAAAAGGGGTAGTTCCAAGCTTGATGGTGAAAAGCGTCTTGTATCATATACTCAACCACCGCCAACTCTTCCAACCTTCCTACGACAAGTGCCAACACTTGTAAATCTTCCGTAGTATAGTGGTCAGTATGTGAGCTTGTCAATCCAACAACGCTCGAGACCCGGGTTCAATTCCCGGCGGGAGAGAATATGACCTTCATTTTAATTTTTTTCTCCTCGATTTCTACCGACCTCATGTATCCACTTCTTTTCCTATCTTGACCTTCGTTTTCGGTAGCTCCACGTCGAAGGTTGAGCCATACCCCTAATTTAATACACAACTCCCTTCCATAGCGAGGCAGAAGGAGGACAAAGACGCAGCCTCGTCTTGGGGATGGAGTCGGACCTCAGTACCCCACACCCCTCGGCCCGATGTCACTTCAGTTTTCACAAGACACTGACACTGCAAGATCATTATGTCTTGACTCTTCTATTCATCAACGCCTTCTCCCGTCCCTATTCTGCCTCATGATCTTGTTATTTTACATATCATCACTCAAACACGTACAGTAACGAACGATGCTATCTCTTCATGCCAACAAAAGCCAAGGTCATCATGAGTTGATACCTAATGATGGTATGAATAAAAGTTGTAACTATCAAAAAACACCAGTTCCAATGCTTTGCCCGATTTATGTCCCATAACGCCCTAAAAACAAATGTGATGGGACACCTCTTCTTTTTTCGTTCGCAGATACAAGGAAAACCCAAACCCGCCTGCTACCAAGCCGAAAATGAATGATGAGCGAGGTATGTTTTTCTTCCTTTTACCACATTGTCCGACTACCCAACTGACACCGAGGACCCATCCAGTCATGCCAGTTGTCGACTCTCTGGATATTGAAACAAAGCCATCAATTCCAGGTCGCAGACTACCCCGTTAAACGCCGTCTAATCGTGGCGGGGGTGATTTGTTGTACAAGCTGCCTTTGCGCTGAATGATTGATTCGTTTAAGCAGCATCTGCAGTGGAGACTGGCTGAACAACCTTGGTGGCCTGGTTGCCAGCGCGGACAATCTTTTGGCCAGAAGAGTCGGTAACGGTCTGGACGTCCTTGTTCTCGGACTGAGCGCGCTTCCAAATCTCAACCTCGCAGCCACCACGGAGAACACCCACTCTCATGGTGGAGAGAAGGTTGTGGGCAGCGTTGGAGTGGTTGTAGACACCACCGTTGAAGACAGCAGTGGCGTCCTTGCCAATGGCCGAGTTGATAAGAGTCTTACCACCGGGGTGGTCGGCAATGAAGCTGCCAACATCGTGGATGATACCAGCGATGGCAACCCAGGCCTTGCCGTTCTTGGACTCCTCCACGAAGTCGTCCCAACTGACAACAGGGAGGTTCTCAAGAGGCATACCCCAGTCAAGAGTGCCACGCTTCTGGTCGAGCTTCTTCTGGAGCTGCTGGAGTCTGCCCTTCTCAATCTCGTTCTGGGGGAAGGTCTTGAGGTTGTAGGCGAGGCCGAGGAACTTCATGGTGGAGATGAACCACTTGGTCGGGTCGTACTGCCACCACTGAATAGCGTTGCGGAAATCGCTGGGGAATTCGTGGTGGAAGTTGTGGTAACCCTCACCAAGAGTGACAAGGGCAGTGATGAGGTGATCTCTCGGTGAGTTGCGGTCATCGAAGGGCTGGTCGCCGAGCCAGTGAGCCAGGGAGTTGACGCAGAAGGTGGCCTGCTGGATGAAGAAGATGCGCAGGATACCGGCATAGACGAAGCCGCCGGCCCAGTCACCCCAGCCGAGGCCGCAGACGAGCATGGGAACAATCAAGGCCATGGTGAGGACGGACTTGATGTAGTTGCGGTGCTGCCAGACAACGACGGGGCAGTCGTTGAGATCGGTGATGTCGGTACGGCCGATACGGCGGGGGTTCTGCTTCATGACCATCCAGCCGATGTGGCTGTAGAGCAGACCCTTGCGGACGGAATAGGGATCCTTCTCGGTGTCGGTGTAACGGTGGTGAGAACGATGGAGACTGGACCACCAGCGGGCACTGCCCTCAACAGCGGCGGCGCCACCAGCGGCAAGGAAGATCTTGAGAGGAAGGGTAGCCTTGTAGGAGGTGTGAGCCCACAGACGATGGTAGCCGGCCGTGATGCCGAGACCAGCGAAGAAGTAGTAGAGCACAGTGAAGACGGCGGTCTTCATCTGCAGGGGAACCCAGTACGAGGAGATAAGGCCCGTAAGGGGAATGAAGATGATAAACGTGGTGTTGAGCCAGTTGACGTGCTTGTACCAGTTCTTGGCTGTGATGGGCTGGTCGGTGATGTCTGTTGGGAAGCACTGTTAGCATACCGGATCGACCGGATGTCACGATCATGGCGACCTACGAGGCTTCTTGAGGTCCCAGTTCTTCTTGCGGATGGCGACATAGTCCTTGGTTCCGTCGGGGAAGGACTCGGCCTGGAGGACCGCCGAAGCGGGAGCCTCAGACGACGACGACGCCATGTTGGGGGCGGAGGTCGCGGAGGTTGACAATATCGCGGTCGATGAGGACGTCGGCCTTGGTCCTCTCGTCGTCGACTGTGTTGAAAAAGAAAAAGAGGTTCGCGGAAAGGCGGATGTGGAGGGGTCTCGGGCAGGAGGAAAGCAAAAGTCAGAGTAGGAAAGGGCTGGGTTGAAAGTTTTATACAAAAGTATGGTTCAAGCAAGCAAGGGTCTAAGCTGTGGGTTTAAGCGGGGGGGAGCGGCGGGTTGAGGGAGGCCTGGTCAAGATTGTGGTGGCACGCGGGTGCCGGGTTTCGTGGGTACTTCAATTTGCTGCCAAATTGGCAGGCGACCCAGGTCACTCTTTTCGCTCAGCGTCAACGGATTTCCTCAACAGCGATTGGGCCACCGGCACACCACACCATGTGTGAATGAATCCAGCCTTTTGCACCTGCTTTTGCCTCTTCTGCTTCTGGTTGCTGGCGCTGTCAATCTGTGGAGTTTGAACTGCCGCGGTGGCCAATTCCTTTGCTCAGCAGAACGGTTGGGGAACTGAATGGGCGAAGGATGAATATGTGGGATGATACCCGATGTCTCTCGAACGAGCTTTCCCGACACGATCAGCACTGGCCGAGGTTTCGAGAGGGGTGCAATTGCAAGCTCAGGTCAAACTGCTGCCGGTCTGCCGAGGATAGCATACGGATGGCACCATCTGGTGGTGAAGGCATCTCCCCCAGCCTTGATTAAGGTGACTTTTGCCGTTTCCCGAATTTTGTTGAGGAAACTGTTGGGGAGCTGTTCATGTTTGGGTGGGGGGAACTTGTAAGTCAGTCCGTGCTCTGATTGGCTGCCTGTTAAATCCGCACACCTACGACGTCGTCCGAAAAGTTCACGATTTCCTCCGTCACCCGTCCCCAAACCCGGCCGTGGCAAACCCACGACAGACGCTGTTCCGCCAGAAAGCCAAGCAGTCTCTGACGCGAGGTTCCCCATATTCTGATGGTGGAGGGAAAAGAGCCGGCGATGGAGTCCCAATCTTCAATCACATGCAGAATCTCGAGCAATCAACAGCACAACGAAAGTCAGCGCCAACAGTTGCCGCTCATCTGTTGAATGCCACGACATCTGGCAGCTCATACCATCTTGTCCGCCTGTTGGAGCTCTCTCAAGAAACACAACGAAAGCCGGCCGTTTCTGTGATGCCTGTCATCTCAACTGTCATGCGTTGTCTGGTACCTGGGCAGGGGAATGCCCCAATGGCAGCTCCCGAATTGACGTGCCCCTCTTTTTTCACTTTCCGTTCGTTGGGTTCGGGCGGAAGGATCCGCCATCGTTTCAAGGCTGAAGTGGAGCTTCGCTTTGCCTTGACTTTCAATGCTTGGGATTTGCCAAGCCACCACAACGTGCAAGTCATAAATATGTGACTGAAGATCGCTAACATTTAAATGTTCGAGGTTGGCCTCATCCGAGTCTTTACCTTGCATGTCTTGAATCTACATGCTTCAGCAGGATACAGCCCATCACCAGCTTCCACAGGCTCTGGGTTATCACGAAAAGGGCTCAGTCTTGCTGTACTTACCAGCTCGACTAAGAAACTCTCCAGACTCTACGATCCGCGGACCATCCCTCCCTAAGCCTTCGACGGGAACCCCTGACAAGCGTCATGGAAAAGCCCGAGATCGAACGCCACATCCGCAGTAGTGCTAAGGACG